CAGAGATATAAATGACTTCAGAGCAAAGGCATTACACTCTAATAAAAGCATTTTATTTGATAAATTAAATAAATTTGATTGTTTCCTTACAAAGTTAATCGTGACTTTAAGTTTATTATTATAACGTCAATCCTTGTTAGCTCCGTTACAGCACGGAGTCGGAATTACGTGCAGAAAATACTTAGCTTTAAAGCTAACAAAGCTTAAGAAGTTTAGATTAAATAAAGAATAGGAGATATCGAATAAGAACTATTGAATAGAAGGTATTGTTCAAAAATTATTATGGAGACTATCAATATTATCCGCCCCATTAATATGAGGATGAATTATAAAAAAAATATATGTGGGCTTACTTACTCGTACATCCACATGATAAATGTATTAACGGCTGAAAAAATAACTAAACTTCTGAAAATAATACAATTATTAACCTTTGTATAGTAGACTTTGTGAAAATGATTCACTTCTATTAATTATAAAAGTTTAGAAAAATCTCTGTTGTAATGTGTGACATAATTACAACATAGTTTTTATAATTTACAATTTATATTTTTAAAAGTTGTAACTATTATTTCTATCAAGCTTATATTGTGTAAAAATTTCTTTCTTTGCAAATTTCAAAGTGGGAACTTGAAAGAATTGGAAACTAATCTGTGGGTTTTAATATCCATCGATCTGTAAGTTTAAAGGCAAATTGGAATCAATTATTGCTCAATGAACCTAAAAATAGGAACGACACGTGGACATCCATTTATCTTTTTTATATAAACTTAGCTGTCATATATTATTTAATAGATTTGGACTATTTTATAATTAATTTTATTTGTTGTACAACCATTTCAATGAATAGTGTAACTGCTTTAGAGAATTTTATTTATGAATTTTGCTTCTCCCCTTTCCATAAAAATAAAACAAGAACAATTTGTTCCTGACATAGATTTTTACAAACTATTGATGTCCTAGACCTACCAATATCAAGATATTAGACAATGTAAAGGGAAAGTAATAGTCCTTAAGTCGTGAGCGATAAAGACTAATATACTGAAGGGGATACCCTCCTTGTCACTATATTCCCTTATCCTTAACTTTATGAAGCTAAAAACTTAGTGGTCATTTATCGATATATCCTTAAGTCTTTTTACCAGTAACATAAGGAAAAATATTTTCATTCTACTTCTTTAATTTATTTTATGAAACCAAAAGGCCAGGTCGTCAACTAACATAATATTATTTTACGATTTCCGTTAACTGTTTATTTTATCATTAAAATAAACAAACAAAATATTACCGTTAACCTTTTTTGAAACGTTATAATATTTTCATGTTAAAAAGTCAGATTAATTAATTATGTTTATTGTTCTACCTAAAAAACAGACATTTACAAATCATAACATGGCATAATAAATAGTAAAGTTAGAAGATATATATTTTTTACAATTATAGGAATAGACAATCCGAATAAATTCCGGCAGATCCCGTAATCCTATTCTCATTTAAATGGCGGTCTATCCTGATTAAAATCGTTGAATCTGAAATTAGTTAGGGTATGATGGAGGTAAGGCCTCCGAGGCAGTGGACCGTGTGATAGATGTTGGAACTTCCGAGTATATTAAACCATACCATTGGATTAACGCTTGCACCATATTTTAATATTTAACACAGAACTGACCTCATTATACAATATACAGCTTATCACATTTTGCATTATACATATTAATCTTATCTAGTATCAGCTTTGTAAACATCAAAATATTTTTTATATCAATATAGTCTATTAAAGTTTTTTATTATTGAAGATAATCAAAAGTATCTTATTATTTTGATAAGCAGAATGTAATTTGTTTTCTAATTTTGTGATAGATTTTATCATACAATATCGTATGATTATATACCGTTCTCGCACATTCTCTTAAATACGTTGTGAAGGGTAAGCCCCTCTTATACGAAGCTCTCTAGGGAATTAATATCACGAGACAAAAACATTTTCATAGGAAACATATGAGAAATAATATTTTTAGATATAGTATTTATTCCATTCTTAGCAGTTTGGAATTCGTTATCAAATAAAAATTTATAAAAAAATAATAATAATATTAAAAAATTGTATATACTCGTTATGATTATTTAAAAGACAGAAATGCCGATATAATACAAAATATTAATGTAATTAAGATTTTTTATGACATGTCATTATTTTAGAAAAGCGTACTATTATAACCAGGCAATTAATTTAAAATGTTACAAACATTAAATGTTGCGTTCTACTTATGCGGTTTACTGTCATTGTGAAACTTAAAACACAAATGTACAAAATCTTGCTCAAATTTATCATAACAGCACCGTTTTCTAGTCTCTAGAGCTTTTGAGCTCCGCTGGAAAAATATCTCACCAGCTGTGTAGTGTTAACTACGATATTAGAATAAGCTTAACTGGAAGTGAACTCCTAATGACTGTAAAAACAACAGCAAAAAGTATGAAAATTCTTTTCTAAATAAAACTTTTACCATTTCATATTTAACTAGATTTTGTGCTTAAAAGCTACAGAATACAATGTGTACTGAAATCAAATATAATATTTGCTTGTCTCAGATTATATATTTAAAAGGATTTAAATCGTTTACTTGAAGTTTTTCGATAAATTTTACCCATGAACTTCTTTTCATTCTGCTTCTCTTCTCTCTTTTTTCTTTTCGTTGCATTCATTTATAACATACTGAATATTAAAATACACACAGTATATATTTGAAAAGGGATTAAATACAAAAATGGGTCACAAATATGATATGGTTAATCTTAATTTTACTTCAAACCGTGTTCTGTTTAAGAAACAGGTTATTCTCAGCGAAGTTTTCCCATTAAAATATCTCTACAATGATTTTCTTAGAATATATTTCTTTGACACTTTTTAGGATTCAAGAGCCCTTCCAGCCCCTGCTGATTTTATCTTATTATATATGTACATGTAACTATTTATATCACGTACAAATTTAGCTCCCCCTAGCGGCGTACTAATTGTCGTTTTATATCCGTCCGCGCCTTTCCTGAGTTCACGCTTGTATTTCATTTAAATTTTTATGAATTATGTTAACGTATCAACTATATTAGTTTTCTTTGTTAATATATGTAAAAGTCGTTTCACTTATAATGTAATTAGTAATCTTTATTTTGTTGTTGTATTCCAAGGAAATAATAACTTTATTTTTAATTAGTCTACTTATAAAAGTAATTTTAATCAACGTAATATGTAAAAAGTTAAGTCATTTTTATTATAAGCAATTCAATACCATACTTCTAAGTTGTTTATAATTTTTGCAACCTCCAGAGTTTTTCATATAAATATTAGAAGTATAATGTCTAAATCACAAATATACTCAAAATTTCTATACGCCTTGTACTTAAAATGTCATTAATTTAAAATAAACCTTACCATTAAAGAAATAATCAAATGGTTAAAGCGTATTTGAATTAACACTAAAATGAATTTCTTAGCTAAAATACATGATAATGTAGAAACTCGATTGCGGTGAACCGGATTTAGCGGTTTCTTTGACGTGGAGAGTGTTAGTAAATCTAAGACATTAAACCGCCTTGCTGCACTGTTAATAAGGGCATTCACCTCTGCAAATGTAGTATCTCAAGAAGACAAAAATAATATGAGAGAAGTTGAAAACCTTTTGCAATATTTTAGTTTTGTTTTTTGGAGGTGATATGCCTCGCACAATATTCTTTACGTTGAAAATTTTAATGAGATGTATTGAATTAAAGTACATAGTATTTATTATAAAAACGTACATATGTGGAAAAGTTACGAGTTTCGAGAAGTGTTAATTATAATTATAAAGTGTGAAACAATTTATACAAAATAAATTAAAACAAGTCTATAATATATTTTTTACGTACAATTGTTATTCGAACGTAAATATTAACGCAAATGTTTGTGGAAATAAAATAAGTTTTGATGTAATAATGGTTAAAATGAGGTGTATGAAACGATTTTAAGCTTGTACATATTTGCGTATAATTTCCAATACATATTTCATTTAGAAATATCCGAACTCCGGGAACCAACACCGGAAACGTTTCAGGAAGCTGTTTACAGGTAGAACCATTCATCTTTAAGGGTGGGTACATAAATTTAGTATGCGTAATCATCCCAAAAGTTAGCGGATATCGATTAGCACCGCATCTGTCCCCGGTATCCAATAAATATGTAAATTTTGCCCGGATTAACCCAACGTTGAAGAAATTCGCGGCTGGTGTACACCCAGATAGGGACTTTTTATCATTAAATTCGCCTTTGACTTATATCGGTAGGCGAGTCAATAAGCCTTAGGGTTGCCAGTATGAGTCTAATCTTAATAAAAATAATGTTATAATATTTATCTTTTGTAAAATTGCAATTATGTTCATAGATACATATAACTATCTTTCAAAAGTTTTCCTTTAATGTGTAACGATGTTTCAGAAACGGACACTACCGTAATAAGTTTTAATATATGGTGAATTTGAATAATTGCTCGTTTAACTGGAATGCGATTAAACTTTGTGGTCACATGAAATATTAAAAGTTTTTTAGGTTATTCTAATATGAAGAAAGACAAAAAGATATTAAATTACGAGTTCATGAGAACGGTTGTGACATAAGTTTCTGTTTGTAGATACGGGTTCTGTGTATAAAACCCAAAATGAACCTCAATACTCCTAGGAATGTCGGTCGCCGAATTTACGGTCCAAAACGATTTATGATCTCGTTTTATGTCACGTTGGTTACATAAGTCATGTTATGATATACATTATCTTGGGTTACCCGGCGTTTACACTTCAATGATAATTGCGTGAAATAATAATAAACAAAAACTAAATTATAAAAAATATATACAGTTAGTTGCAGCAATACTTTTTAACGATACTGATGTCTAGTCTAGTAAGAAATATTTTATATGCTTCTTCAGTACACAATGTCCATTGTACTAAATCCATTGAGATGAATTACGGAGTGTTCATCCGGGTATGAATATTTGCTTACCTGCCAGTTTTAGTCCGATGCGTTTCCCCGGCGGTTTAATTAGTTCAATATGTGTCCGTCTCAGACCTCTCTCTGTGCAAAGACCCGAATCCGTTGATAAGGAGGTTTGAGATTTGAAAACTGAAACAAATTAACCACTGTTAGTTCTAGAATTGTATTCTATATGATTTGATTGAATAATATCAACAATTTGCGTGTTATATTTATGTGTTATTCTTAAACAAATTGATAGCTACGGTTTTAAAACCAGACCAATGAAAAAGCTGATGTCAACGTTGAAATATGAAACGTTCAAAACACAAACTGTGTAGTTTGGAACTGCAGTTACGAAATTGCTACGTCCATGTGTATTTGTTAAAGTTAATAGTGAAAAGGGAATAAAAAATAAATGGACCAGGGAACCGCAATTTTTGACATTGTCAAAAAATATGCTGGACATGGATCCATTAATATAAAAGAACGCATTAAAATTAAATTTTTGACTGCTAGAAAGATATAATATGAATTTTAGAGATATCAAAAATTAATTCAGTGTATATTACAGAAAATTATTGTATTACTTTTTCTGTTTCGGTAAACTTTGACAATTCCAAAGAAAAAAAATAGTTTATTGAATATTATATATATAAAGCTATTGTGAAATATTGTGTAGTAAATATTTGTTTATACCTTTATATTTATAGTGTAAGATTTTGGGCATTATTTCAAATATTTATGTTCATTTAGAAGTTTACAGTTTTCGATTTAAATATCTTTTATATATCATAGGAATTTTGAGAAACTTAAACGTCATTTAAACCATTTATATTAAACCAGTAGACGTTTATATGAATAAAATATTGTACATAAATATCACTAGTTTTATATTATTTAACAACAACAGTTTATTTTAATTTTGCAATAGTCTCTTATAAAGTAACAATTACACCAAAAACAAAACTCAAAAAATACAACAAAAATAATAAATAGTTAAAGTTGGAACCTAAACAAAAGTTACATAAATTGCAATGAAAGTTCCAGCCCCAACCAAATTAATTTGTCACTTTGATATCGTTATCATTCAGAAAAAAACATTTGTCGCTTTCGCTTAACGAGACTGAAAGTTGGGACAGCATTGTCTACATCAGTAATTGCGAGGAAAAGTCGAAAAACAAGAAGTGACTGTGACGAAACATTTTGTAATTTAACTTAATTTATTTACCTTCCCTTTAAGCTCTAACAAATGAAACTAAATACATTCTCGGAATTTTTGTAGCTAATGACGATTGTTATTCAAATATCTAATACTATTTATTGGAATTTAAATAATTAAAAAAAGAACTTTTGAGACAGGCTTTACAATTGAAATTAATTATATTTTTTCTCTTTTGCTGAATTTATAATCTGAAACGTTATTAATTTATACCCTTCGAATTTTATATAGCATAGAGCTCTTAGGTCGTTAGTGAAAGTTGGTGTTTCATAAAAAAAGGACTGTTGTTTTAATCTCCTTTTAATTTTATGGAAAGCTTCAAAAATTCTCTCGTTGGTGATTCGTGTCTTGTTGTTCTTTTGTTGTATCTATTTCTTGCGATTAATTATCCTTCTATTGTTACTGGAAAGACAATACATAACTAATCGTTCTTACGTATTTTTTACTTACTGTACACAAAACATTCTAGTTTTAGTAACCAATGTACATTTTTTTATGTTTGTAATGTAATTGCAATTAAAATTATGATGTTATAATCCGGAATAAACGAAAACATTTATCCAATAGAGTTTTATTTTACTTTTTTCAATCAAAAAAACCTTGTTTTAATTTGAAACTCGACCTTTGAGCCACAGTCACAAATTAGCTGCCGTTCAACGACGATTCATTTATCAAGGCAAGGACATGAGAAACAAGCAAGTAAATTGTTAAATCTCCTTTTATTCTCGTTAAATCTGCGACTTATTTAACTTGTGTGGTTCAATTAACAGCGGAATTAATTATATTTTAAAAAAATATACTTTAAAAGCAACATTATTAATACCATAACGAATGTGTTTTTTATTATACATATATTTACTAAATAATTTTCAGGCTATTCTGATAGTTAATTATTGAATAATAATAAAGATAGAATACAATACTATAATACAATTCCCAAAGAGGGTTGATGTCTGGCAGGCGGCCGGTCGTAAAAACAATTAGCCAAAACTATTCACAACATGTAAGACAGACCCTGGCTAAAGCTGGGAAATTGCCAGGTAAAAGAAGAAGATTACGATACATGTATTAACTATCTTTTCAGGTTTGTAAATATTCGTAACATTTTAGCTAACACAAGCACTTCTAATTACAAAGAGAAATAAAAACTCCTACCATTCATTAGACGGACTCAGAAGACATTAGTCATGTTATATTTAAACTGAAATTTGTTTTCAACAACAACGCATGGAAATGCATTTAATTTGTATGCAATATATCTTTTAATCACAATTTCAATTATATCGAAGCTGTTAAATATTAAATTGTATAATTAAGATTTATATTTTCATGAAAACTGGAAACTAACAAATTATTAAATGAATTTATTAATTTATTCAGTGATTCTATTTTTTATAATAATAAAGCATTAAATTTTTCTCAACATTTCAGCGATTGTTGTTTTAACTGTTGGTTGATTTAAATTTTGTCATATATATTTAAAAAAAATATTTCAAAGGAAGAGTTTAAATAAAATTATAACATTTCTTTTACAACAATGAAATCAATAAAATATATCTTGTTTCATTTCATCTCGTCTGTCCGTGATCACGGTTGCTGTAAAGTAACCGAAACGTCAGGAGTATGTAGTTTTTAATAAGAATAAAATCGCGTAGTACATCCGAAAAATATTAGTTTCATTCAATTTTTTTTCCTTTATGAACAAATGTAAGTAGTTACTACTATTAACTCCATAAATTATCCAAACCACTAGGTCGATACGAAAGGAATAGAATATCTATAACATATTTATTCGTATCCTAGAGGTCGGCTGCGAGGAGGTCACGTAATACATTACAATGAAACGCGCGCCTCTTTTTGATCACCGCTCCTTCAAACTTTATTTACTCTCATAATTCATGACATTTCTCTTACAATACAGTATTTTTCTTAACATAAACGAATATATTTATTTCATAAAATTTTAATTAATGTTATATTTTCTATGTATAAATATTATATAATCCGAAACTAAAAATTTTTGAATAAAAGCCACTTCTAACTAAAATGTTACCGTACAAGAATATACTAAAAGATTAAAGAACCCAGCAAAAATGTTACTAAGATGCAAAACAACAAAGCGTCAGAGTTCTCTTATATAACATGATATAAATGTAAACTGAAGGCTTGTAAAATTTACCAAAAGTTGCTTGATATTGGAATGTCACATTTTATATTCAGGTCACCAGTACAAGAAAATTTATTTTGCTGGTGTTTTACACTTAGATTTATAAAGACGTACAATTTAGTAACATCACACTCTTTCAAACACATTCAGACATCAAAGAGAAGTAGAGTTAAAATATTTCCAATATATGTAGGTACAAATAATTGTTACTAATATTCCAGTTCTTTGTTTAAGTGTATTTTTTTATTTTTAAATAAAGACAAAGTTTCTTAAGTATAGAAGTGATGTTCTATACTGCTTACGTAGCTTATTATACAGAAATATGTTCGTATGAAATAAAATTGTTATAGTTTTTCATTGACAGTATCTCTTATAAAAAGCTTGATTCAAAAATAACTAAACAAGAATCCACTTAACTACACATTGGGGAATTGCTGAACCAAAACTCAATTGTACCTTTGTTTCCCAAAGTGCTGATGTAAAACATTTACGTGAGACAAAATAAGGAATATAAACGATGCACTTCAATGGTAAAGATGTACTAATAACTATTACATGCTTAAAAGAAAAGCGTTTCCATTAAAACTGATCTTTTATAGTCTATAAATATGATTAAATCTATTTTAAAACATTTAGAAATGTAGACATGGAGCTTAATATTTTTTAACACAGTGTCTTATTCACAAAGTGTCTTTGACACAAAGTGATGAAAGTCTTATTCACCTAGTCATAAACGTATTGTTAAATTAAAAGTTAAGATATTTTTAATATCTCTACTTTCTTTTCAGAATAATATCACGGCTAAAATCAATCACAATGATTGCGAAAATAGTTTTCTTGAAATATTATCTTCTTTGTTTTAATCCTGTTTACAGATAACAATACCACTTCTGTAACGCGGTGTAAAACTTTCTTTGCTCGAAGTAAAAAAAAATATTGATAACACTTAAGTGAAATTGCAATAACTCGAGAGTTCCTAAGAACTTTTTACATAAAAATGATTAAATGTATACACCATATGAATGGACTTCCTTTTATAAGTATTTTGTATTCCTGTCTTATTGTATAAGTTGAGAAGTTTCTAGGGCTGTGTAGATAAGATTTATATGGATACTGTATTCGTATAAGGAACATAAAAATATTGTTAATATGTGTATATAGTAAAGTGTTTTTCAATAAATTTGTTGAAAATTCTTTTTATTTTTACTTTATGTTTTTTGTGTCTAAATTAATGATACAAGCAACCTAATTGAATATTTTTTTGGTATTTCATTGCCTAATACTTTAAGAAAACATTTTTGAAGATCAATATATAGTATGTTTTTGTAACTTAAGTTCTTAAATTCCTTTAATTTATTACTAACTAAATAATAATAATGTGATGTTTAAAGTGTTAATTGATATTTCCAAGAAGTTAATTTTTGTCTACTTAAATTACATAATGACAAACAACACAAAATTTTAAATTTTAATGCTCTTTGTAAAAAAAATCCTAAAACTTTTCATTATTCTTTACTGATTATTATTATCGATTTATTTTAATTCTGATCTTGATTAACTTTATGATTGGTAAATGTAGTCTAAACGCTAAAATCTTTGTTTTCTTCAATAATGACCCTGGAATTGAAAACTACAACTACAAATTGTATTTTTCAATATTTTCACGGCATTCATAACAAAATTTACCTTTTCATAAAAATGCACTTTAGGAATCATTTATTTAGTGTTTAATATAATAATAAAAATCGTTACCCCAAATGA